CTCTCTCTCTCTTTCTCTCTCTCTCTCTCTCTTATCATTAGGTATTGAACCCAGGGGTCTGCACATGTTGGGCACGCAGGCTACCGAGCTGCATCCTAGCCCTATTTTCTGAGGCAGTCTCTCCCTGAGCAGCCCAGGCCAGCCTTCTTCGTGCCTTTCCCTCCCGAGTGCTGGGATTACAGGAGTGACCCACCACACGCCTCTCCACAGTTTCCTTTAGTGACCTGCCACGTTTGGTGAGATGCAGCCTCCAGTTGCTGCGCCTGAGCTGGTTCTGCAATGCCTGTCGTCTCAACACTGCTAGCTGGGCATCTGGGAAAGGCCCGGAAGAAATGGAGACACTTCGCGGTGCCTCGTGGTGCCTATCGGCTGTGCAGTGAGCAGCAGGCACAAGCAGAAAAACGGAGCGGGTTTAAGCCATGTGACATCTCCCTAGGAGGTGACCTAGCAGATAACTTTGATGTCTTGTCAAAAGGCTTTACACTCACTGTCCCAAAATCTATAGATAGTAAAGCAACCGGGCAGGGGCTTGTCAGCTGGAACACTGGAACAGGGCTGTTGTCCCAACCCAGAGAATGCCTTTCTCCACTCTGTAAGAACACTCTTCTACCCTATGCTGCTGTTTCATAAGACATTCAAGTGGGGTATCCCCAGGACCACCTTGTGACCAGGGAAGGGGTACAGGTGGTACAGTTCATATGCGCTGCCCCACTTTATGCTGGGTCTTACAGGAAACAGGCCATGGGCTGTGTTAGCACACAGATGGGCTAACAAAACAGAGAAAGCAAGGCTGTAGAGGGGCAGACAACCTGCAGGACTGGAAGAGACCATGGGCACTTCATGGAGGGGCTGGTATATCCTGAATCTACAGGAGGGACTGGAGCTGCTGCAGAAGGACCAGACACAAGCACAGAGGATCAGCACCAGAACCCGCTGGGTGCTCTGTGGAGGTGAGCTGGGACTCTGGCAAGGACCTTGTCCATTTCATCCTAGCGATCTCCAGAACCGGAAGTGTTTCCGGGTCCTGTAAGACACAGGTGACTTTGGTTTTCATGTTGACCCACACAGAAGAGTGTGAGGATCAGGAGTGCCATCTTATCTATGCAATTAAAGAAGTGACAAGCTGCTTCCTGTTTGTGCTGATTTCTCTACTGTCAGCAAGTGCTGCATGGCTGAAAAATGGGGTTCTCTGGCTGTCTTGACTTGGATCTTAAAATATCTATCAAAGGCTCGTGCAGCCGAAACACCCAGACTCATAAATTATATATAAATGTTATTTATATAATTTACATATAACATATAGCATATTATATATATAATATACATTAACAACAAAAGGAACAGTGATGGGGGTGTGATTAGAGGCAGGGAAGGGAGTCACAGGGTTAACAGGCTCCTCCCACGAGGAACCCTGTTACCTGGAACACAGGGATAGGCATGACCTGGGCAGATCTCAGTGGCACAGCATGCCTTTGCATGCACAGGCCCTTGAGCTCAGTTCCCAGCACAGAATTAGAAGAAAAAGGCGGGACCCTGCTTCTGGTGGCGCCTGGATACATGGGCTCATGTTCCCAACACTGACATTGGCTGTCCCTGCTAGTTCTCCCAGTCCCTCGCTGATCGGCATAGGATGACTTATTGAGAGTCGGTGACCCTGTGAGCCTCTGCACTCTCCCCACACTTGCCGGGGCCTAGGGCTGAAATTCAGGTAATAAGTGAACACACCATGCCTACATTTCATTCTGCTCTACCTCTCTTGTGCCCCACCCCCGGTGGCAAGTCACAAATAATCTTCTAGTTACAGTGGGAAGGATTTGAGACACATTGGACTCAGCACTTTTGCCGTGTTCAGATGGCCTGCGTGCTCCTCCATGGTTTTATGTGTTCCAGTCTTCATGCGTTCAAGGTGTGGTATCCTGGAGTGGCTGTTTTGGGAGGCAGTGGGACCTTCAAGAGGTCTTTAATGTCGGGGAGAGCTGTGATGCCAGAGGAGACCATAGGACACTGGCCCCTCGCTGGCTTTCTGCAGTAGTGTGGCTTGTCTGTACACACACACACACACACACACACACCTGCCATTACTGCAATGTGACCCAGCCATGAGGCCTTCGGCAAAGCCAAACTGATGCCAGCACCATGCCCTTGAGCCTCCTGTCAGAAGCCATCTAAGAGAGCGGGAAACAGTAGGTGATTTTCTGAAGATGGCCCATGGTTTTGTGTGGCTGAGATGGATAAACTCTGAAATTGCAAGGCTTTTAGAGAGTTCATCTCAGAACCGATTGTTGTTACGATGTCTTTCCTGATGTAATTAAATAGCATAATGATCCTTAGGCATGAGCCCACCCTCGGGAGCAGATTCTCTGCAGGTAAGTGAAGCTTGAATCAGGTTTATGTTCAGGGAAAACATTCCTTTTAGGCTGGCTATAGAATCATTTATCTCATAACTAAAGGTCATAAACTGGGGAAAGCAGAGAGAACAGAGAGCAGACAGCAGAGAGGAGGGGGGAAGGACGGAAGGGGGAAGGGGGGGGAAAGAGAACAGAACAGAGAGCTTTGTATTACCGCGAGACAGGTTTTTTCTTTTTCTTTTTTTTCTTTTTTTTTCTTTTTTTTTTTTTTTTTTTTTTTGGTTTTTTCGAGACAGGGTTTGTCTGTGCAGCCCTGGCTGTCCTGGGACTCACTCTGTAGACCAGGCTGGCCTCGAACTCAGAAATCTGCCTGCCTCTGCCTCCCAAGTGCTGGGATTAAAGGCCTGCGCCACCACCGCCTGGCTGACAGGTTTTTTTTCTTAACAGCAAGTTTCTTCTGATAAGGACAGGGAATTTTCTTACTAAAAAGGTAGTTTTCTCTCTCTAAGCAATAAAGGTTGGAGCATATTTTTCATCCAGAATGAGTATGTTCTTTCTGTGCTGGCACTTGATCAATGAAACCTGCTTGTGGGGGCTTTTGCTCCATTCAAAAAAAATTATATATATATATATGTGTGTGTGTGTGTGTGTATGTATATATATAAATATAGGTATATGTATGGAAATATGCATGAATACTTATGGAGTAGATGAGACAGGTGGTCAGGTTCACCAAAAAATGTGAATGTATCACTCTGTGTATAAATTTATATTTTCTTTCTGCAAGCATAACTTTCTTTTTTTTAAAAAATATGGAACGCTTCACGAATCTGCGTGTCATCCTTGCGCAGGGGCCGTGCTAATCCTCTCCGTATCGTTCCAATTTTACTATATGTGCTGCCGAAGCGAGCACGTGACTTTCTCTTCCCGTTTCACTAAGTTAATCATTCCAGGCCTCCCCTCTCACCGAGCCTTAGCAGTAAATCCTGTGCCGAACTCCACGCTGGTATACAGCATATGTTAATCACCAGAGACTTACAAAGTCATTTATAAATAATAATTAGGTTTTCCAGCACTTAATGAAGCATGGAACAGTAAGAATTAAGTTTCCTAACAGGCCATGGATCATCAGTCTTTGGCCTGAGTTTCCACTCTGCGACCTATTTCAGCACCCATTCTAAGACAGGGCAGGCTCCTAGCAAGCCTCCCAAATCTCCTCAGGTTAGTCTGCAGCGCATTTCACTTCAGTAATACAAAATGGATGCCCACAGATCTGGGCCGTCTAACGTCCAGCATCTGAAGATTCCATGTCACAAGGAAGAGTTGAGTCAAACACACCTTTCAGGACCATTACGGCAAGCTGGGTGCGGTGATGCATGACTTTAATACCAGCACTTGTCAGGCAGAGGTAAGTGGATCTCGTGGGTTCAAGGCCAACCTGGTATTAATCCATCTGGATGAGGATAAGATCACTACCACAATGTCTGAGCTGAACGTGAAGCAAGCTTTATAAACACTGGCCAGGACAATGGATACAGGTTTCCTGGGATTCCTGGAGAATGGTTATGAATTACATTTGTCAGGTCCTTATAAAGATGAACCTCACAAGGCTACAAACTTCCCACCTTTGTCCAGTCTTACTTTCTGCCTACATACCTCTCACCTATGCATGGTCAAGCACATCCTATGCAGTTGGGGCTGACAACTTTGTTGGGGATTGGTTCTAACGCTTAGATTTAATCGGGAATCTGCATGTCCAAACGCTGAAGGTCCTTGTCCCCAATTGATTTTTGATTGATCCATAAAGATGCCAGCAGCCAATGGTTGGGCACAGGGAGACAGGGTGGGACTCTTAGATTTGTGTGGGCTCGAACACAGGAGAGAGGAGGATCAGAGGATCACCATGATTCGGAGGGAGGTGGATCAGATTTAGAGCTGCAGAAGGAAAATCATTCCAAATGTAGATGAGAAGAAATGCAGCCCCGAAAAGGGCTTCCCAGAAGTGTCTTGGGAAGCAAAAACTAAGGAACCACCCAGAAGGTACAGGGCAGCAAAGATAGATCGGAGATTTGGAGAGTGTTGAGTCAGAAGTACTGGAGGGAAATCTATGATTGCCAGGTGGAGGATTAGAACTGCCCAACCTTTGAGCTAGCCACAGCATTTCAAAAATAAGTTTGTGTGTGTGTGTGTGTGTTTCATTTGTGAGGCCAAGGAGTTCCTGGGTGTGTGGCTGGAAGCATGTGACCCACCAGGAGCCAAAGCAGTGTCGCTAAAACCTCTGAGCTACACAACCTTGTTTACAGAAGTGAGAACATGTGGCTTGTATCTTACCTAAACAGCCCCCAGCATTCCAGAAAGTGATCTGCCCTTGGGTGAGTGGGGCTTACAGGTTAGAGGCATTTTTGTTTTATAGATCTCTTAGCACAAAAATTTAAAACTTAAAATGTAA